TCCTTCATTTTTTATTCATTTGTTTGCTTTAGTGTAACCATTTTTAATAACATCATTTAGAACAAACTAATTACGAAAAACTTTAAACTCTATAGAAGGTTGGATGTTGTTGTTTTTCTGTCTCGTAATATTAAGGATCGCTGTTGGTTTGGCCTCCTGGWGTTTTCTTGGCCCCCCATGCGACACGCAATACACCTGAGTCTCTACATCATCCGCTATTTATGTAGTTACTTGTGATTAATAAACATCTACAACAATTCAAATTTAATTTTTTCTAGAAAAACAACCAAAATGATATCTCAAATGTGTCAAAAATTCTTTCAAAGTGTAAAGTTTGAAATAAGAAAATCAGAAACCTTTTCGCCTGTAAATGCGACTTGCGTCACTAGTGCCCAGTACCTCACGTTTGAAATCAAATATTCATAAGTTGCAAAGACGATCAAAATGGCGATGGAAGCAGCCCCCACTTCGCCCCAGTTGAGTACCTATGCTACTCAAAATAATGTTGCAGTAACCCATGCAGTACCTTCTACACACAATGCTGTTAATATCATCCAGCCTGATCAGGCAACAAAAGGATTATTCATCGTCGATCCGTCGCAACAACATGCTTTACAAATGTACACTACGAATACGGAAAGACCATTTATGACAGCAAGCTCGGTCGAATATAACACTGCACCGGCTATTACTGTGCCAGCATCCAATGGAAACAACCAGCTAATGGTAAGCTACTTATTGGGAATGACTTTGGAGAGTTTTTAGGACTTTGTATTTGTCAAATAGTGATAGTAGCGTTCGTAAAARGTGCGAAAAGATTCGTGTTGTGCCTTCGAAAAGCCGTGGAGCCGAAAGCTTTTGGCGTCTTTTGAAAAGCAAGAGAAATTACACGTATTTTGGCTTTAAATGCTTGTCTGTAGCATTCTAGCATTCACTGGTAAGTTTGAAAAGTTGTTTTGGTTCGTTCTAAACGAGCAATTGGCCGGAAATTCTATCTGTCAGACGATTTGGAAGATTTAAAAATTCGTCCAATGGAGCCGAGGTGCTGTGTCTTGTTCGCTATTGGTTCTAGCGAGGACCTGTGTAACGATGGGTAACTTCGTTTGCCAATCAATGGCCAATACATCTTTTAACAGGTGAAGGAGAGTACATTCATAGCTTCTATAGCAATCATGCGTTGGCTTTGAACTTTTGGAGGGAATCTTTCGATTGTGAAATGRATTTTGAGTGAAATTTGCTTCGATCTTGTTGCTTTCTTTCATGAGTTGAGTTCTTTGTGACGCTGAGTGACGCCATGAAACAGCTGTTCGCGATAAATCTATCTATGGTTGGGCGTATTTCCCTTTCAAATTCACTACAAACCGGTTATTTTTTACTCTGCATGACTATTTTATTACAAACTTCAATAAAAACCTTATAATTGTATTGATTTTCCCGAAAAATATATATTGGGCTTGTATCTTTTTCCTAGATCATCCTCGACGTCTTCCATCAGTCAAACCCTTGGAAGTTTATAATGTGTTAGCACCGTTACGAATATTCTTGTTTTGAGCCACAAAGTTGATCTTTATTAGATACCAATCTGTTTTTAAAGATAAATACTAACGCAGAATTATGCATCAAGTCATAGAGTAAAATTTAAAAAGAAGAAAAATAAAAAAAAATCAGAATAATCTTCATTTTACAGATGTTAACACCTTACAACTATAATTTCGCGAGTCAGCAGACATAAATGACATCCTCAAAGGAATTCGTGTTATTTTATGATGAATAGTTTATGAGTTCCCCGTCATTGCTCCTTACTCTCATAAAATTGTATCAAAACAACACCATGTTTGCGAAATTACTTGCACTTTTTCACAGTTCAGCTTATTTTGAACAAAACTCCTGTGTTGCATGGTTAGAAGTTATGAATTGTTAATATCAGTCTTTGTTGCAGAATCAACACTTTTTATCAGATTCTCAGTGTGTTAGACATAATTGTGTTAGCAGGGAAGCACCCCTACTTTCTTGACAATGTAATAGTAATACATGTTGCAKCCAATATCAAGATAACTGCATTAGGTTGTTTTGTGAAAAGCATTTATTGTTTTCTTAGTATTTAACGTAATATCAACGCTTTGAATACAATTAAATACATGTATATGCATTCCTCAAAAAGATACAATATAGCCCAGCAAAATGATGTTGAAAGAACAAATCCTTCCAAGATTTTMTTTCTTTTTTCCTAGATTAAATTTAAATGCAGGTATTACAATTTCAATATTATCATTCAAGGAGAATAGTGCACAAGTGTAATATTATGCTTTTAAAGCAGTATCAGGTTAGATAAACAATATGTATATGAAAAGGTATTAGGTATCAACCATATGAATAATACTGTATTTTAAAATCATCTTAGAACCATCCTAAAAAATCATATTWCTTAATATTTCCTTTTGAAAATTTAGTAATGTAAAATATAGAAAGCTTACTAACATTACTAGACTTATTTTAAATATTAGATCCCTTATTTGTGAAAAAAGGTTTAAATTTTTGATATTTTTCTAGATGACTGGACAACCAATTGGTGCACAGAGACTTCCCGTCGCTATGGAAACCCTTGATGAACCACTCTACGTTAATGCAAAGCAATATCATCGAATAATCAAYCGTCGGCAAGCTCGAGCAAAACTTGAAGCTGAAGGAAAGATCCCAAAAGTCAGGAAGGTATAGAYAATATTGTCCTATACCGRTTACTGAAATAGCTTTACTTTCTTAAAGCAAGGGAAAACTYCCATAATACTGSCATTTTTTAATGGCTTTGTCAAGTTTGAAATGTGAAGTTGTTTCTTTCATCAGACATCATTAGCCGTGTGTCATCTACAGTRTGAATCGAACAGATTAAATTACTTTAAATTATGATTTCCCTCAATGATTTAAAGCGTTAAACTTTTTCTTATTTGATGACTGTGCATGCTTGAAACAGTGCAGCTATTGTTTGCTGCTGTTGGTTTTGATTAAAATTGGCATTGATATGTTTCAGACACTCTCAAATTATTTTCATTGAGAAAAACTTATTGTTTGTAATAGTTATCTAATTGAGAGGACCAGWCATACCTTGATATATTTGATTGAAACTGTAGACAATGTCTCCCCAAAGTGATGTCTAAGTGGCCAGACAAAACCCTGATCAAAATTGCGCTCAATACTTGTCAAAAAATAGTAATGATAATGTGAAAATTTTTGTTTGGGTATTGCTGGATTGAGTGTGCTCAATTATAACTTCTGTTCCTTTGAATTCTTATTAATAATAGAAATATCTTCACGAATCAAGACATCAACATGCTTGTCGAAGAAAAAGGAGTAATGGCGGGAGGTTTGTAACCAAAGGAGGTAAAAAATTAACCGAAGAGCAGTTGAATGCATTAGAAGCTGACAGTAACGACACAGAAAAGCAACAAGGAAACGAACAGTCATCAGAATAAATTAATTAAAAGGTGAATTTAATGTTGATCATTCATTGGTTGATGCTGTGTATCATATGAAAAGTTATTGGTTATGTGCATGATATGAAGATTTATGGGCTGACTTTGAGCGTGATATGAAGGATCGTTGGTAGAGACTCAGTATGATATGAAGAATTATTGGTTGATGTGTGAGATATGAAGAAGTTTGAGTGTAATGTGAAAAATTATTTGCCAAGGCTGAATACAAGGCAAAGAATTATGATGGTAGAATTAAGATGTAGCTTTTATCAAAACAAGCTAGACATAGGCTAATGTGGATAAAAGTGTTTGAGGATGAGTAATTGCCAGAATAGACATGAAAGATTGTTGAATACTGATTTGAAAATATATGTAGATAATAGAATTGTACATGTCAATTAAAATTGACTGGTATTTCTTTTCCAATCACAAATTATTACATATTTTCAAATGACAAGATCATTAATGTTTTAAACATTGTGTTGTAAACATATGAAGTGAAAAAACCTCTGTTTTGTTATAGGTTGTAAGTCCTCAACCCCAGCCTGTACAAAGAACATTGCTGTCAAACTAGCCATGTATGTCACCATTACGCTGATATTTAAACACTTTTCCATCAGAGTACATACTGTACATTGAAGGATTAAAAACACTARTATACTAGTGTGTAAGATGTAGAATTTATTATTTAAACTAACATCAAAGTGTAAAAGATAATACTCTTTTGATAGTGGTTGTTTATTTCTATGTAAATCTATTATATATTATACATGATATTATTATGTGCAAAGTGTTTTCATACTACACTGAATGAAGCTGTAACTTATCAAAGTTTGGATGCCATTTGCAGTGTCCAAGGCATATTAATTTTGTCTTGGTATTTCACCTAAAGCTGACTTAAAACTCCATTTTTATTTAGTACGGAATTATGTTTTCTTCCTGCTAGTTGAATACAAACACTAAAAGTGTGCAACAAAAATATTGGTAAATTATACTGCTAACTGTATTGTTTTCTATTCAGTTGACTATATTTAACAGTGAATAGTGTTAGTAACGTGTTGCACACATTTAGTTTGTGTATTCCAATGATATTGGAGTTAGCAACCCATCCTTTATGCAGCTAAAGGGAGACATGAAAAGCGCAATATTAATGTTCAAAGTTGAAACTCTCCTAAAAATTTGTTGTGGAGAAAGTGAACATTCATCAAAAAGCAGTTTTATTGCATGGACATGTAGTTTTATAATGAATTAATAGTACAATACTAAATAATTTCCTTTACAGCAAGTAGMTTAAAATAYGTTTTACATTATCAATCTTCATTWGATGTTGATTTAAAGGCATAAATCAGACTGTTAAACAAAAGGGAGCCAATTTGCACAAGTTTGAGTCATTCATTTTAACAGCYAGAATTTTAGAGACAAGCTTACAAAGTAGTGCTTAAGTTGTGCCTCAGGAGACAGTGTTCATGCAGTATTAACATCAGATATGATCTTTTAGTGTTAATTGAATATAATTTTCATGTATTACCCTAGCAAACAAGCTGTTCAGACATTTTTAGCAATAAAAGAAAAAGCTAGCTAAGGTTGTTGTATTTCTTTCCTTGCACATGTGTAAACTTGCTTTTTCATGGCAAATGAGCGTACATTGTCATGCATTCGAAATATATGTTCATTTGTGATCTCTTTTGAGGTCAACATCCAACATTTTTCCATATACATATGTAGTTCAGCAATTTTTTCCAGTCATAATATATACCAGCAATTTGGCGACATGATTTTTTGCATCCGATGACAATGCTGAAAATAATTAAAAGCGAACAAAGAATTATCTATTTTCCGATGCGCCTCATTTTGAAGCATTTTCAATTCTTTTGTGTGATTGCAAACTCAAACCTTCGAACGAGGTGTTGGTGTTGTTAGAATTGTTATGTGGACTCCCTGTGTTTTATAGGACAAAAGCCTGGGGCCTAAGCTGCAAGTCAAAACAAAATGGCCGTCAGCTGTACAAAATGAACTCCACTTTTTTCGATACAATCATGAATTGGTATGAAGCCACAGCGCTTTGAAAAAAGACTCTAAGGTCAGTTTAATTATACAGAACACGATCATACTTTATCATTTTTATTTTTTTGTAATATTATACTTTTTATTTTCTAGAAACTGGCAGGATTTCTTTCTCTGAAAGAAATCATATTTTTAGAGCACTTAGAAGAGGAGATTGAAGTGTTTTTGAGGAGTAGTGCAGCTGCTGTCGGTTTGAATAAGGTTTTTGTTCTTCCTCCTCTAAATTCTCGATACAGATATCTCACGCACTTCTTGGTGCATAGATATCCTCCCAGCTCCTTGGCGAGTGTGTCTATTGGATCAGGAAAGGAGCGAAGGACTGTTATTTGGAGGAATCATTCAAATATCAGGTCAAAAAACTCTTTTATTGTTATTTGATATGATAAAAATTAGTTAGGGAGCGACTATAGAATACCCGTCCACATATATAGGCATGATTTTTGGTGTACCCGGGGTCGCCAGTCATTTAAGAACGAGTTATATTCATGGTGACCGCGGGTACGTTTATTGTATAAGGTGATTTTAAATTGTATATTGTGGGATTCCTGTGTGAAGAATAGAGATATCTAACCGCTGGCCCGTATGTTATATATCGACCCCGAAGTCTTCGACTGGAGACTGCGGGTACAGTACATGAGAAGGCTGTTTGAATGTACGGGTATTCTACAGTCTAGCCTTAGTTAGTTAAACTTGTTTATATAATGGACAACAAGGCTATTGGATACCAGTTAGAATATTGATATTTAAAGCTAGGGAAAGGTGCTCAAAGTGAGGAGAAATACTGACTTGTGTTTTTAAATTTTTGTAAATTCTTTGTACTAAAAATCTCACATGAATTTGTTTTAACAGACAAAAGGGTAATGTTGCCTTACACAATCAAGGAACACTGAAAGAACACTCTTGTTATACAAGAAATAAAGGAAAAATGGATAAAAATGCCAGAATACCTACTAAAACATCTAGAGGAAGAGGTTGGAGGAACCAAAAAAGACCAGATCAACAGTTTTATGTTCCTGGTGCTTTACATCGGAAAAAACAAGAGCAAAATACTGARAATACAGAGGAAAATATAAGAGAACYATCAAGAGGTACCACAGAGGCATTACAAGAAACAAGAAAACAAAATMATGAAGATTGTATCAAAAATGTGGGYAAATTATCAGAGACTTCATCTAACTCATCAAATTGCARAKKAATTGATGAAAATTCTGAAAATAAAAAGGAAAATATGGCAGATCACTCTCTGAGCTCTGAATTAGCATCTGGACACTCAGATAGTAAATCATTTGAATTGAATAGGAATAGTGTAGAGATTCTACCTTGTGCTGCACAATGTGATGACCAAGAACAAAGTGCTGAAAACAAAGGTGAAAGATTGGCAGATCAAACAATACAGATACCAACTTTAGTAACACAAAGGGAATTTAAATCTACAGAGATAAATGTTTGCAATACTAACAAACTGGAGAAAAATACAGAATGTTCATCAAAAACTGATGCTAATTGTCCTGCTCAAACTTTAAGTTGTGAAGTGTCAAARYCACAAGGATTGGTTTTGTCAAAYTCTARATGTACTCAGWCTGAAAATKCCAGTGAACATAGAAAAACTGTTGATATCTCAGCAATAACAACAAGAGAGAACACAGGATTAGATAACCGTGCAGAAAGAACTACAATTAATGACTTAAAAGAAAGTAGTGTCATTTTGTCCTTACATAATAACAAAACAAGCAATGAGAGCTTGGAAAAGTTGAAAGATAACGTGAAAAACCAGCACGAAAAAGATTTGGTTACAAGCAAAGAAATTCATGAAAAGTGTATCAACATTGAAGATACTATGCAAGTTAATAAAGATAGTGAAAATATAAAAGAATATGATGAAGTACAAGCTGACAATTTACATAGTAGTTCCTTAAGAAAAGAGGAGATACAACAAGGAGGTTGTGTGTCTATCTGTGAACCAGTAAGCAATGACATTACTAAAAAAGGGATTTTTAATAGTGAAAGGACAGAAATTCAAAGTGAACAAACAAGCAATGATAATACTGATAAAAGTACTAAAGACATTGATGACACTGAACCTAAAAGGGTTCAAACAAAAGAAAATGTGAGGGAAGATAAACAGCAATGTAATTTTGAAAAAACATCAAATTCACAAAGTCTAGCTGATGGAGACTTGAAAAATGAAAATGGTTTAGAACAAAGAACTCATCTTTGTAGTGAAGAGAAAAAAGAAATTGTCAGCACAAATGAGATTGACAATACTTCATGTAGTGAAATATTAGAAGCATTAGAAGAGACAGTTGATGACCATAATCAAAACAATGATGTATCCACGGAAAGAAAAGCCAAAATAACTTATATAGAGGATGAAATAAGGGAAAATTGTACAGAGAAAAGTGATTCAATGGTATCTGAAAATAAAGAAGAACAACCCTCCAAACTTGAAAAAGTAAAGAAAAAGAAGAAAAGTAAAAAATCTGATCACTTAGAATCTAAAGAAGTGAAGAAGAAAAAGAAGAATAAAAAGGAGCACTGTGAAAGCTCAAAGGATGAGGAATCTGGGTTAAATGGTAAAAAAGCAAAGTGCATATCGAAGACACAAGTCAAAGGAAAGCAAGAGGGTATCAAGGAGGAGGCTTTGGATCAAGATGGGAAACAAACAGGAGAGGATGATTCTGTTGATGATGATGATGATGACAGCGATAGCTGGCTTAATAAATTCAATGATGATGGGGAGTGCTTAGATCCTGAGTTGATCAAAATGGTATATTACAAATTCATTCATCAAATCTGCTCTTTCTTTTATTAAATGATTATTATTCATTCATTTCCCCATTCATTCATTCATTCATTCATTTTTGCTTTCACTTCTTCTTAAATCACAGCTGTCCAAAGCAACTGGTATCAAGAAACCCGTCAAACACAAAACTCAGTTTGACTTCTACTCACTGGCAGAAAAGGATATGGAACTGGATGACGGTATATCAGATTCTTGTTCTTTTCTCTTACGTCCTTTTYGGGGATGAGGGGAGGCACAATTCCTATGCCTTGGGCCTATCAAATGCAATTTCTTTTTGCTTTACTTCCTTATCAGGCACCCCATCCTTCTTCTTTTCATGGTTTTACATTTTACTCAGGCACCCCATCCTTCTTCTCCTCATGGTTTTACATCCTACTCAGGCACCCCATCCTTATTCACCTTGTTTTTGATTAATGTTGTTCAAATGTCTCCAACCATAAGTCATTACTTCTTATTTTCACAAAGCTTCATGTTTTACATTTTTTATTATCTATTACTGTCATCATACATAGGTTATGGCCATATTGTTGAGATCTATGACTTCTCAGCTGACCTMAAAACCCAAGATTTGACCAAGGCTCTTAGTGRATTCAAGTAGGTTCAAATCAATGTTTCCTAAAATATAAATCTCATTGTCAGAAAGAACTCCCCTTGAATCATGCCCACAGTAACTTTCTTATGTATTTCAATGTTCTCCCACTACATAAAAGCCTATATATTTTGTAGCCTAAGTTGATTTATATCTCCGT